AGGAGAAGCACTCTTTTTTGTAAAGGAACTTGGCTGTTTTAGCTCTTTCTGTCAGCTTTTCTTCCCCGTAGTTAATGCTGACTAGCTGTATTTTCTCTTCACTATCAGAACTTAAGGTGTTGACAGAAAAGATGGGTCACTATAGCAAAAGCTTTGGCATTAGATCATTATAGTTTGAGAATATTTGGTTTAGTTCAAAAGCTTAGTGCATATTATGAATAATTTAGTGTTCTTTACAGTTCCTGCAACTTCGTAAATTTTTCATGTTTAGATTGTTTTCTGTTCCTAAAGACTGAAGTGACCAAATAATTGCAAAAGCTGAACAACTCATTGCAAATCCCACTTCATTTAGAATAAACTGTTTTGCCAAGTGCCCAAGATTATATATAAATAAAGTAGGACAACCATCAAAAAATTAGTACAAAACCATTAACTATTGTTATCTCTAAACAAATGTTAGCTAAAAGTTCTGTTTAACTATTTCATAGAAGCTAAAAGTTCTGTTTAACTATTTCATAGAAGCTAAAAGTTCTGTTTAACTATTTCATAGAAGCTAAAAGTTCTGTTTAACTATTTCATAGAATATCACCGTCTCCAGCTGCAGAGAATCAGGTATCTCTGCAGTCAAAAAGAAGAACTTGGAGGCTGTTATTAATTAATGAATTCATGGCAAATTCAAATCAAAATAACTTATTTATGTACATACTGGAATAGAACAACCAGCCTTTTCTCATGCGTATCCCGGTTAAACTCATCATCTCTGCCCATTCATTTCAACTCTATTTTATTTGCTTGTCACAACGAATCTGAAATACCTTGCATATTTATTTGATGTCTATTATATGAATTTTACACTCATTAAGCTCATAGAAATATCTACCCCTCTATTTTGTTTAGGTGCATTACTACCTTTATTGTTACGTTATATATAAACAAAGTAATGAAATGTTGGAGGGGATTAAAATGTTGATTATAGTGTTCTAACTTCTAAACAGCCACAATGATAATAAGGATTACATATAACAGATTAGTTGATTAATATCCATGATTAGAGTGCTGACCTCACCAATTGATAAAGATTTTCTAACATGAATGTTGAAAGGATAATGACTCAATTTCATGAAGAAACGCTAATCACTAATTGCTTTAGAAGTTTACCTTTCTTTATTTAAATGTTTTAATTTATTGCAAAACTTATTCAATTGTGACAAAATGGACCCATTAAATCTAACATATTTGAGAAATGGTTCTAGAGACATTAGCAGATTCTTTGAAGTATAAACTTTTGGAAACATATTTGATTTTGTCACTAATGAAATGAATCCATGTTGTTTGGCCGAATTTTTAAACGGATCTCCATTTCAAAATCTACAATCGAGTTAAATACAATCTTTTGAAAACTACTTTTGACTATTTTCAAGGTGTTTTTGGCTTCTTTTTTTTTTAGGTTTAGTAAATAGGGTATTCTCAAACTAACTTGTATGCACTTTAAGACTAATCTTTTTTTGATCTGATCAAACGCAAGCCATTTATGCAAAGATTAAAAAATTCATGAGAAATTTCCTTTTCATTAGTCTCTCAAAGGAATCTAACATTAGTCAATAAGATGATGAATAAACTCCTTTATTAACTAAATTATAATTCATTAGGCATTGTTTTTAGCTTCTATGTGGTTAGAAACTAGGCTACAAACTTATATTTTTTGGAGCAAAGATTTGCTCTTAAGCTTCTAAATTTGATCATTTTTAACAATATATTACTAGAAATTTTTATGATTATTCCTCCTTGAATTGATGATTTAGCATTTATGTAAAAGTTCTACTCAAACAAAACTTTTATAAAAGCTACAAGTAGGCCAAACAAAAAAATGGGAAACACTCGTTTCACTGCTTAAGGAAACGGTCACCATACATGTAGCTTGTGACTGTCTTTTACAAGCTACAGTTACATGCATTGAGTGGAATGTATATTCACGTGGGAGAACAAGCAAACCATAAATCCATAATCCTCATGCAGTGTTAACTCATCATGCAAATTAAGAGAGAAATCATCTCCACCCATTCATTTTGGACTTTGTTTAATTTGCTTGTCACGACAAATGTGAGATCTCTTGCATTTTTATTCAATGTCTACAACACCAATTTTACACTCATCATGTTTACAAAAATATCCATATCAATGTTTTCATATTAAATACTTTATTAGTAAATTAATGAGTGAGATATTGGAGAAAATTAAAATGTTGACATGAGAAACATATACTTCTTATAATACCTATCTTTTATATTAAAATTAGAAGCTAATTGTTTCTGGTTAACAACGGATTGTTTTAGGAAACCAATTAGCCAATTAGAAGAATTAATTATTAATTTTCTTGATTAGAGATGAATATTATTAAGCAACTGTTGTTTAGCTGATTTTTCTTTGCCAACAAAAATAGCCAATTCATCGGAGACAAGTGGAAGTAGGGTTCCCAGGGAAGGCTCCGTTTGTATCCTCGTTTTATATAAAGTCAAATCGTCAACCTGAGGAAAAAACTCTAAGTGTTTCTGTGGAACAAAAATACTTTCGGAAAAATTATTTGGAAGTTATTTTCTTCGAAAGTGAAAAAAAATATTTTTATTAATTTTTTTAAATGATTGTCAAATACCAGAAAACTTAGAAAAAAGTTTTTGAAAATCAATTTTTAGGGTACCAAATTGACCTTTAACTATTTTTTCTGAGCTCAAGAAAGAATTATCAAAAATTGCCCTCTCATCTTTTCTATCCACCATTTGTCATATATTTTCCATGTTTTCTTGGAAAGAATAGTTGGATAGGTGCTTTTGGAATGAAATTGAGCATGATAATCTTATGTTTATGTTTGGCTATGAAATTGGTATGATAATCTCTTTCTTCTTGAAGTAAAATATTTTAAATTTAAATGATATGATATACGAGTAAAATAGATCAAAAACTAAAAGAAAAAAAAAAAGTTAGCTCTCATTTTGTAATTTAAAATATTTACAATATAATGGTACATCAAAAATTTCATTGCTTTAATTACTCGAGTTTTTTATTAAAATTCTAGCAACTAATTTGGTAAACTTTTTCTTTTTTAAAAATGAGCTGAGACAAACTAAGGAATATGTTAATCTGAGCATTCTGAACACATAAGTCCATAACCAAAACTTAGGTTCTTGGTCCATTTATAACAAGATCTTCAAAACTGCACAAGTGGACTAGAATTTATGGTAATATATTCAGAACAAGCATGACAAGCAGATAAGGCAATTTCTTCTAGCTTGACTGGAAATGTAACAGCTGATAATGCTATTTTGAAAGGGACATCATGGACCCATTTTGCAGTGTCCAACAGGAATCAAATGTCAACATCATACAGTAGTTAGGCGAAAAAGGGTACAACAAATAATTTGAGACTCTTTTAGGTGTTTTGGTCAAAAGCTAGCAAAAGAACAATCAAAAGACATCAACTCCTGTAATTTGCTTCCAGTTCTGGGGATTTAGTGCCATTTTCTTGGTAGTGTGGTCCACCACCAATTGTTGTCTGGAAAGTGATTCTTTTTTCATTTTGGAATATCAAGCAACTGTATATAAGCAGCAACAGTATATATCTAACAAGCACTGCTAAGTGTCATTGTAGAGTGCATAAACATTGGGGCGCCGATTGGTCCTAGTGTTGTACTTCTTTTATAATTTTTTTTCTTTTTTCTTTTTCTTTTTTTTAAAAAGGCACTCGGCAAGCAGTGCTCATATCTAACACCCAACAAAGCAAATTAATGCAATACTGGTTGAAATTAAAAGCTAGAGAAAAGAAGTGACTCATAAACATTGCACATGACAATTTGTACAAAAAGAAATGGTAGAGATCTTCCTGATGCCATTCATAAATACGGTCCTAAAGACTGGTAGATGAGATTTTCTTACAATGACATACTAAAAACTTTAAGGCAGGGATCATACAAGCACTAGTTCTTTCAACAAAACTTAGATTTGAACAGAAAAGGGCAGAATAAGAGGTTAAGAAACCCACTCAGACCTCGGAGAACTATGCATAGCTTAGAAACAACATTTAGAGAAAGGGAAGAAAAGAAAAAGAAAAGGCTAAGAAAGAGGGAGAGGCTGCTCATAAAGACTTTGATCCCATTTGCTACCATTTTCTGAGTGCAAAAGTGTGGAATCAAAGTTCAGATAAAGAGTCCCAAGAAACAATTCACCCACAATTCTTTATCTGCAGCATAATTTAACTTGAGTAAGGGTTCAGGCATTAATTAATCTAAATAAAATATGCAATGCTGACTCACCTAGTCCTAGAGCTGCCAAGAGTGAGTTCTAGGTCATCTGATCCACACTCTTCGTGAATCCTCTCTCCTTCCCACGGCTTGACGGGCCCTTTTGCATAGCTTCCAAATGCAAACTCATCTGAAATCACTTCTGACATTGGAACATCAGCAGTATGATCAGATCCAGCAGCAATAGCTGGAGAGCATGTCCCACTCTGCCCAGGAGTCCACATGTGGGATCCTCCACCTGCTAAAGCTTCTTCCTTGAAGCCATAGGGTTTTGAGGAGACAAAACTGAATGTAGGAGAAGTTGGCCGGCCCTGTGGGATTCGAAGTCCAGCAAACCACTCTGGATCAGGAATGATCTGACGACCTGGGCTAGGTGGAGTTGAAGAAGGCATGGAGGGGTGTTGCTGTGATCCCCATCCTGGTTGGGCAGGTTGGTGCTCCCAGTCATTTTTCATTCTTGGAGTTCGGGCAGTTGGCGAGCTCAATGGAGGGGTGACAGGAGCACTGATGGAGCCACCATGAATATAGAGATGAGGGAACTTGGAAGATGAGGCTGATGAAGATGCAGATGAGAGGTTTTTGAGCCATGGAATTAGAGAACTACCATCAGCATTATGATTTACTACGTACGAAGATGAGGCTGGACTTGGGAACGAAGATGAACCAGGGCTGGGGTTGTAAGACACACAAGGACTTGGCTGATAAGACGAGCAAGGGCTTGCTGTTGCAGAGGCACCCACCATGTCCATGTGCTCCACAGGCTTGCAGCCCTGCAAAAATCAGATAATCACTTCCTATCAACTTAAGCAAAGCATCAAAGGATTTCTAGGAATGATATAGATGATAAGTCTGAAATAAATAGACCTAGAAATTACTATGACTAAATTCCTGCCTTTGTTTACATGAATTCATATGAATGCTTTTTATTTCACTAGACAGGCACAAACACAATCATATTTTACCTCCTTTTCCATGTTAAGTATCTTATTTTCTATTTGAAGATATCAGTTTGCAAAAATTAAACTAGAACTACAAAACACCCTTATTTCTTGGTTTCATAGGTCAATCACAGATTTCCCCTCTCAAACTACTCTCACTTAAACCTTCCTTTACGGATATCTAACCAACAATGCACCTCCAGATTCAGATGCTTAAAAAATTTCTCAATTTGTTAAGCATGTGAGAAGTTACTTAACTCTAAATTTTAGAATGATAACTGCCTCAACTTCTCCCTCACAAACTGCAGCCCCATAAACCGTACTACTGGCATTAAATCAACATAATACTATACCTGAAAAATCAACTTGCTTACCTAGTTGAGTAATTAAAATATACCCATCGCTTTTAACGTGGAGAATTATTAATGGGTACTTTTGTCTTCTCGAGATCTATGACACTAATACATGTTCTCATGATGGACGCTGCTGCTATTATGCTTCTCACCAACCAAAGAATCTTTGGTGCTTTTACACTATCACCATAAAGTGCTTGGTAAAACAAAGAGAGAGAGGAAAACCCAGTGCTGACTGCGGTCCAGATCTGACGCACCGCGAGGAAGAGGAGTAAAAGGACATTTCTGACCAGATTTAACGCACACCACCCAGAGGAAAAAACCAAAGAAACGGAAAGAGAAAAAGAGAAAAGCACCAAAAGGATCTAATCCTCATGGACGGTTCCGGTCAGCTAAAAACCGTAACTTCCGGTGTTATGTTGGCGCTACCAGACGCGCAAGTTAGAAGCTGATCTGCCACTGCCACTACAATTCTCCAGTACCACATGCACATTTTAGCAAAGAACGCTTTTCTCAGCTAATATACGCCCCACAAACAAGAATAAAGAGAAAAGGGTTGATTTAGCACTGAACGCAAATTGAAGGTGGTATAGTTCATCGGTTTCGTGATATTGTTCCGCTAATGATTTCGATCAGCAGATATCAGATGTTTAAAGTTATTTGCCGGAAAAATCATATTCGTTTGCCTCCAAAATTTTAACGATTAGGCTTCCTAAGATTAACATGGAAGTGAATTGATCTAAATTTTGCATCCAGAGAAAATTTCTATATTCAATTT